ACGCCGCTTTTTCATCCATTTTCACAGCCGAACCAGACGCCCCCCTACCTGAGTGCCCTACCCCTATTATGTCAATAATGCCGGCTATAAATTTCTCGGCCGAAGGCATCGCGTCACTGATTGAAAAACTAAAGGTTTCTTCGTCCGCAGGTGTTGATGACGTCACTTCTAAACTTCTAAAAAACACTAAACATATTTCTGCCGTAGTCTTAACCTTGTTGTTCTCGCAGTCTCTATCATCAGGCACTCTACCGAACGAATGGAAAGTGGGAACGCTCGTTCCCGTCTACAAGTCAGGTAACAGCGTTTCACCATTAAACTACCAGCCCATCTCCATAACCAGCATACCATGTAAAATCATGGAACATATGATCTACACTAACATCATGAACTTCCTCGATTCCAACAGCTTTTTCCATTCATCACAGCATGGTTTTCAGAAGGGTCTGTCCTGTGAAACACAGCTCGCTCTTTTTTTATTGATGATCTGCATTCCAACATGAACTCTAATATACAGGCAGACGCAATATTCCTTGACTACGCTAAAGCCTTTGACAAGGTACCACACATCAACGCTTGCTGTTAAAACTTTCCCACTTAGGTTTGCATTCAGATGTCATACGATGGGTTAAAGAATTTCTTACTAATCGGTCTCAGTGTGTGCGCATCAATAACATAGCCTCTAACCCCGTCCCTGTATCCTCCGGCGTCCCTCAGAGTTCCGTGCTGGGTCCCCTATTGTTCCTGATATATATCAATGATCTGCCATTGGAAGTTACTTGCTCTATTCGTATGTTCGCAGACGACTGCATTATTTACCAGTCAATAAGAAACACCTCTGACCACGCTGTGCTGCAGAGCAGTTTATCTAAAATCCTGAATTGGTGCGATTGCTGGCTTATGGTCCTGGATCCCAGTAAATGTAAATTAATGTCCGTCACCCGCTCGCGAAGCCCTCTCCTCTATCCGTACAAAATTGCTAGCACTCCTATTGAATCTGTTAGTACCTTCAAATATCTCGGTGTAACTATCTCCAAAGATCTCAATCGTTTTCCGCATGTGTCCAACGTCATCTCAACCAGTAACAACAAAACCCTAGGCTCTCTCAGATGTCATTTACGCAGCTCTCCTCCTCACGTTAAACTCATCGCATACAAATCTTTATTTCGACCAAAACTTGCGTACGCGTTCGCAATCTGGAATCCCCATCAATCTTATCTCATAGACGCATTAGAAATGGTGCAGAACCGCGCCATCAGGTTCATTCACTCATCATATTCGTATAACGTTAGTGTATCCTCATTAAAGGCGACAACTGGTCTGCCCACCCTTTCTTGTCACCGAATTTTCACTCGTGCCTTGACTTTAGCCACAAACCAGACAACCTCCTTCTAGTTAATTCTACCCGCTTAGAGTCTATTTCGGCCTCCCTGCAGTCCCTAAACCCCAGTGCTTTAAAGAACTCTGCGCCATCATCCTGAACTATAGGGTGAAGCCCTTTATAAAAAAATTATCAAGTGTTCGGCATTTTACTCCTCCTCTCCACACGCACTGCATACCGTCTCTACCCCTTCGTATTTGGCCCGATATGTCTTGGTTCGCAATACTCCCGTCCTGGCCTCAAACAGTAGAGAACTATCCCGAGTATTATCATAGATCCTTGGCAATTTTCTGCTTAAAAGTTCGATAGATCTCTAGCGCGGACTTCTTAATCATGCCAATTCCCCACATATCGGTCTCGGCTTCCTTCACCTTCTTCTTAACCGATAATTATTTTTGGTTTGGCCCCCTGCTGTTTTCTAAGTATTTACCAGTCAATTTTCTGGTTCGCTTCCTCCATTTTGTATCGACACTCGTCATGTACAAGTAGCTGAAAACCTTCCTAGCCCAACGCTGCTCCCCCATTTCTCTCAATCGCTTCTCAAGTTTTATCTTGCTGCTAGCTTCCCTGCCCTCAAATGATGTCCAGCCCATATCACCTTGTACTCCCTAATTTGGTGTTTTCCCGTGAGCTCCTAAAGCAAGCCTACCTATTCCACGTTGCTTAATTTCTAATCTTGCTTGAACTTCTGATCTCATGCACAAGACCGCATTGCCAAACGTCAGCCCAGGAACCATGACCCCTTTCCATATTCCTCTCAGAACATCATACCTATTGTAATTCCACAGTGCCCTATTTTTCATTACCGCTGCGATCCTGTTACCTTTAGTCGACGCGTATATTTCGTGTTCCCTTAGGTACTCAGCCCCATTGCTTATCCATACGCCCAGATATTTGTATTTATCTGTTATCTCTAGCATGACCTCCTGTATTCTAAGCTCACTACCTTTGTTATCATTAAAAATCATGGCTGCTGATTTTTCCTTACTGAATCTGAAATCTAACCTATCTCCTTCATTACCGCAGATGTCCATCAATCTCTGCAAATCTTCCATGTTGTTGGCCATTAGCACTATATCAGCTGCGTACATCAATGCTGGTAGTGCCCGTTCTATGAGTTTTCCTTGTTTGGCGAAAGAGAGGTTGAAGCCAAGTTCACTTCCCTCTAATTTGGCCTCTAATCCTTGTAGGTACATCAAGAATAACAAGGGTGACAGAGGACACCCCTGTCTAAGACCCCATTTTACTTCTGTAGGCTTGGATACCTGTTTTTCCCACTTTATAACAACCTTGTTACCTTTATAGATAACCTTTAAAAGGTTAGTCCAGTATTCCCCACAAGTCCTCTTGAGATATGGGGTTGAGGCCCGGAGCGCCACCCCCTGTCTGCGGTACTGGTACATGTATTCCTCAACAGTTGAAAAAAAAAAAACGAGGATGTTGTAGACAAAATGTAGGTGGTTGCCGCCACGTATAAGCTCGGGCACCATCTTGACGCCAGGGCGCCATAAATTGTGTCGTGAGACGTTACAAATTGTTGCAACGTACGTATACACGCAGATGTGGTTGACAGCTGGTAAGCGATGGACCGAATCTTATGAGCAGCCTAAGTGATCCAGATAATGAACTTTCAATCAAGGACAGCGACCTTCTTTTTTGATCTTTCTCTTTGAATTTTCGCATTTCTTTGTACCCCGCTGCATTTTTTTATATGTCGATTCACCCATACCGCCTGCTGATTCCGTACTATATTTTTCTTTCCTGTATTCCACTGCCGTAACTTTTTTTTTAGTGTAGTATGACTGCCTGAACAATTGTGGCGACGTACCCCACCCCCTTGCCCCCACCCGCCACACACAAGGCAAATTACAATCTGCGACATCCAATGCACGTACGATAGGCATCGTGTACTCTTGACACATGTATTACACCTTTTGTACCGCTTTGCTATATGCCATATCGTACTAAAATTTTGTTTGCGTGATGCGTTTGCTAGAAGTTGTTATATTTTGCCTTAAATCTCAGAAATATCAAATATACTGACTTGGTATGCACAGGCCCTGCAGTAAATATACCGCGGCGTTGAAATAAATAAGTAGAGCAGTTCATCCAAAAGGCGCATTGCAATACAAACCACACGCATGCGTACAACGAGTCGGCGCGCGTAGCGTGCCCTCTCTCCATGTGCACTAAGTCACTTTACAGGCAGATTGATATGTGGGGCTTCACGTCACCTAATAGGCAGAAGACATACTACGCGTTGACACGTTGTAATTAGTGCACGTGGTTATTACCTCATACCAAAGCGTTTTCAAACTGAGCGAGCTATATTTCTAGTGCAATGCGCGTCTGTCAACTTTTTGTACCACGGAAAAGGGCGGGGGGAGTGGACGGGAAATCGTGTTGTTTTGACTGTTTGCTGTTGAGGGTGCAGGAAGTGAGTGATTGATTGATATGTAACGTTTAACGTCCCAAAACCACAATATGATTGTGAGAGACGCCGTAGTAGAGGGCTCCGGAAATTTAGACCACCTGGCGTTCTTTAACGTGCACCCAAATCTGAGCACACGGGCCTACAGCATTTTGTCCTTTATCAAAAATGCAGCCGAGTACCTTAGCCACTAAAGCACTGCGGCTGCGCGGGGGGTGGGGAGGGCAGGGAGAAAATAGGGAAGACCCCCCACCCCACCTTCTTCGGTAGCAAACAGGTTCGCATTATGCCCGAATTGCAGTCGGGCATAATGCGAACCTTTGGTGCAGCGTTGAATTCAAATCCGTTCATAAAAGGGTCGAGGAGCGTATGCTTCATAAGTAACGTCAGTTAAATCGCATGACGATAGTTATAGCGCAACAAAACGACGACACAGAGACAAGAAGGAGACGAAGGACACGAAGGTCTCTGTCGTTTTGTTCTCGCGCCGAAACTATCGTCATGCCATACCACCTAGCCCAAGCTGCACACTTCCGAGCTAAATCGCACCTGGCATTTCTGGCATTAATAGTAATAAAGACGCACGCAGCGGCACTCAGGAAGTTGATTTTCTGCGAGAACTCAAGAATATCGCTGATATCTCCCCCAAACGACGCCGTTCCGAATGAAGCGATTTCTAAAGCAATGAAAACGAGACGAGGCAGGGAAAATTACGGCGCGGCTGATAGTGAACACACACGTACGTTCGTTTGTATCGCTCACAGAAGGCCACAACAAGCGAGGCATTTGCACCGCGCGCGCGATTACAACTGAATGGCAGAATGGTCAAGGACGAACGTGTCATTGCATCACGTGACCAGCCTCGCTCACGTCAGACGTCACGTGCGTACGCTCCCGATGTATGTACACACTTCAATTAGGCTAGATCGCGAGTCATCGCACTATAGCCGTGCGCGACACGACTGAACAACACTTTTTCTACGTGTTCAATTGTGCGAGTGCTCTCTTCGCGACGTACTTGACCGGACTACCGCAAGGCGGGGTGCGTTCTGTGGCGGGGTGTGTGGGGGAGGGGTGTTGCTGCTGAACGTCAACTTGAGGTGTCCGGTTTGTAAACAAACGCGCGTGAGAGCATTTCATCTCACTTTAAATCGACGACGGCCAGTATACGATGGGTGGTACACGTACTTTGTTAGCTGCGGCCATCTGAATGATCCTGATGGTAGCCTCCTTGACGAAGTAGCGCCCGTCGCCTCCGACGACCAGCGTGGAACCGGGAACCTCGGGTCCAACCGTGTCGAAGACTGACTGGATGAAGCATTCCGTGTAATTGGGTTGCATGAACGTCTTGGTGGGCTTTCGAAGCCCGCTCGTGCCGGGCTTCTGGCCATCGAACGGTTTCACTTGCACCGTTTCGACCGGCATCTCCTTCGCTCCCCGGGTGCCGCTCTCGGGGCGACCCTGATGGAGGTGGGTCAACGCGGACGTCTTGGCGGTTTTGCTGGGCCGGCCTATGAAGAACAGGTGTCGCCGCCGCCCAGCACCGCCCGTTCCGATCGCGCGAGTGCCGATTCGCCGGCGCGTGGCGCTAGCTGCGGATCCTCTATTTCGTCACAAGCCCGTGGTGCGCGCCGGCCGGCACGTGCGATACGTCTTTCACGTCAACGCCAAGTAACACTAACAAGCTTTCACCAAATTCTTCCCTGTCGAAATTTTTTTCTTGAACATTTTTTTATTATTTTTATCTATCCGCCGTGAAATATTATACTGAAATGTACCAGACACAATCGACGCCTTTTATTTTCTTACGCAGGCGCTTTGCCTGCCCCCATGGCTGCACGAGGGGGGGGGGGGGGAGAAATCAAGAACCCCTACATCTCTCTCCCTATAACTTCATTGATATTTTTATGCAAAATAGCAATAAGCTTGATTGACACAGCCAGGTCCTTCACGATCGCCAGCCAATTTCACAAGACACCCTTTGACAAGTAGCGAAGCCATATGGTTGGCACACCGGGTACGTGGCCCACTCCCCCGAAAATTCATTTCGCCACAGTCCACATAGCGCGAAATGACCACCATTCACCTGCCCGTTCCCTTTCAGATCTAGGTGTCAACCCCCCCCCCCCCCCAAAAAAAAAAAAAATGTGCCTGCGTGCCTGTTAGCTAGCTACTAATCTTGCCGACCATGAGTAAATAATACACTGCCAGTGCTGGATTCTATTTTGCCTGCCCCCATCCAATAAGCTGAATGGAGTTTGCTACAATAATAATAAACATTCTACGGTTAGCTGGAATGGCTGGGCTTATAACTTTGTCAGCATCGAACCTCTTTTCATATATGTGCATGAAGCCTTTGGTGCAAGCCGTAGTGCTGTTATGGCGGATTTTCTCAATCGATTCGTTCCTGTTGCGATGAGAACTCGTTATATTATATCTACAACAATACAACGTAGACGTTATGATCTTGTTTGGTAGAATAGGCTCCCGCAGTAATTACAAAGGTCAATGAACTGTATGCAAGTGCGTTTGAGGTGAAAATCTTTTTAAAAAGTGTTTATTTTAGGTCTTCTCGTACACCAATACGTCTGTACACACGTCGAGACGTCTTGCAGAAGTTTTTTTTTTCGTAAAAATGTGAAGATACATGCTCATATATGCACATGCAAGGTTGAAAACTTTAGGGGGAAGGACGTGTTGGACCACTCAGGTACGCCACAGTGATATCGTTTTCTTTGTTTTACATTAGGTTCATCCTTCTATTTTCTCTTGATGATAGTGTTTTGCACGCAGTTTATATTTTTACATTTAAATCGATGTTCACGGATTTTCTTCATAAACTTACTACGTACCTGTGGCCGATATACTCCTTTGATTGGAGGTATCCGCCAGCAGTTCTTCTTGATGCCACACCTTAAATGAAGACGTTCATTAAAATGCCGCTGAATCACAGTAAGTACATTCATAACGACCAAATAAGTGTTCATAAGAACAACAACAAAAAAAAAACATGTCACAAAAATCTGCGAACAGCTCGTTTGATGGAAATGTGGAAATAAACATCCGAAGATATTTTTTTTCATTTATTTACTCTCAATGCCGTAAGGCGTTACAGAGAGGAGGGGTACAATATTAAACAATCAAAGAGAAAAGACAACAGCGGGGTGGTTACAAAAAGTGATTGCTGACAGTGTACCTGAAATGCGCAGCGTCGCATATAAACAAAACATAATAATATATTCCGTACACCCGAAGCTTGACGGAGAAGGCGCGCTCAGTCACGCTTTACAGCAATAGTATGCTGTTCCTTCTTCCATGACCTAATGAAGTGTTCGGTGTGGTCCCCATCAACGCAATCGGTGTACGATGGAGAAATTAACCCCGACTTTGAACGTCCATGTAGTACTGTCCTCACTGTGTTGCCCATGGGTGCGTCGAGCAGATTGTCTTTTCAAAATTAGGAGCATGCATAGTGGTCAAGGTGGTGTCTCGTGAACTTCTGACAACTAATTCTGTGATAGCTTTATACGTGGAAATATATATTTATAGGAATTGTTGACCCTATAATGGTGCGCGCACTGGGATGTTGAAAACCTCCAAAGCAGCACTAATGTGCATAGATCAGAAACAAATGAATGATATGGAGTAATGACGGGTCTGATTTAAATTAGTCTTCGATATTTCGGCCCATGTGCGCACCTTTTACTTCTTTCTAGGTTCATCTGCAAGAGAGAGAGAGAGAGAGAGATAAAGATACAAGGAAAGGCAGGGAGGTTCATCTGCAAGGTTGGTGCGGAACTGGTTGCGCTAAAACAAAACCATAACTTGAATGCAAGATTGACTTGACTTGACTTAGAACAGTCGCAGCCAACGGCCGGCTTTTTAAAACATGGCCGCCTCCACAACGCTTGACACTGCACGGCGTGCTGCACGGAAGTTTTCGCCATCATTCGTCGAATGTCGCCGTTTCAGCATTGGCATTTCAGGCTGAGGTGACAGTGTGAAGACGCAACCAACGTACGATCGTTGTTCGTCGCTATGGAAGCCGCTCAGAAGGAACAGCATCGCACGAACCGCGAAGGAGAATCCACCGAGTCTTTGTTGCAGCTTGAGAAACCGGTAAAAGCAAACACGTGCGCGCTCAACTTTTTTTTGAGAGACTGACGCGGAAATAGTTTCATGTACCTGTTGTGTGATGGCATCATCGTGTTGATTGTGATCGGCATCAATCTGACAGCAGCGTCGCAGATGCACTGGCCGCAGCTCGAGTAAACAATGCGGACTGTCCGTCTGTGCGTAGTTCCAAGGTAACATCATCCCCACAAGCATTCAAAGATGTTTACCATCGTAAATTAAGGATGCAAGTTACAGTCCGATCATTTTGTTCTCATCAATGAAACCAAATGAAAACTTCTAATGCAAATATAAAGGTTTACAATTCTATACGTAGATGTTTACACACACGCACACACGCACGCACGCACACACACACACACACACACACACACACACACACACACACACTGCATAACAAGAAAGAAAAAAAAGCAGCAGCAGAAAGTTTACATTCCTATAACACACACGAAAATCAAGTTTCGGTTTTCTAGTTTCTAGCAGAGAAGCGTACGTAGTGCACGTCGACAGGTCACCCGATGTTATCGCACTGCGTACCTGTAAAGCTCTGATCGCAAATAAATTCGCGGGGGTGTGGTAAATTTTGTCTGCTATAGGCACCACGAAATGCATGGAATTGTGATCTCTCTCTCTTTTTTTAAAAGTTTTGCTCTGGTTCATACGGCTGCCAATTTGATGCTTATGTCGCTAAATTCTCGGTGACATTTGTAAAAAAAAAGTTTCACAGGCCTAGACCAATAACCATCTAACAGTTCGTATAGTCTGTTTCTCACTTAGGGGAAATCTCGAAGCGGCTGGCCTCGCGATGCGGCCAGAGCGGCAGTCGCGCGCCGGCAGCGGCTTGGGCTTCCGCAGACACTTCAGGGGCATTAGACCGTCACTGAACGGTTGAACCGCGTCGTCGGCTACGGCGGCGTGCACTGGCCTCATTGTCAGGCAGCGGGCGAATTTCATCATTGCTGTGAAAACTGCCGATATTTCTCATCGGGCCGCAGTACGCCTCATTGCCGTCCAAAATTAGCGCTGTCATCGCTGCCGCTGGGGTCAGCTTCACGGGTGCATCTCGATGCCGGCGAGTGAGTGCTGCTTCAAGCAATGAAATGACATCGAGAAGAAGCACGTTGAGGTCGTTATCTTAACCTACAGCTTCCCTGAATTTGTTCTAGCTTGTTTTATTGTGTTGAACCCGCATAGCTGCACGTCATTCGCTGTAGAATGTTAGGTTTTTTCTTTATGTGTGAAATAAATACCACGCATGGTACGTGCTCATTATGGTATTCCCCGTCGTAGCGTACTGCATTTCACACACCCGCCCGCGCGCACACGCACGCACACACAAAATATTCATGAACGCACTCAGTACTACGGCGTTTCGAAAGAGCAAACAACATATCCTGTCAAACTCTGTTTCTAGAACCCCATTTAATCGCCAATGAAGGCCAAGAGGTTGGCATTGCACAATGTTTAGTACAGGATATTGCCCTAGTTCCCGCAGCAACGATGAAATTCGCAGGCTGTCCGACAATGTAGCCAGCGCGAACAGCCGTAGCAGACGATCCGGTTCAATAGAAGCTCCTCAAGTGTCTGCGCATGCATGAGCTGCTGCCGGCATGACTGCAGGGCTGGCCGCATCTTGATGCCATGCGTTCCGAGATTTCTCCTAAGCGTGAAACAGTTGTTACATGTTAAACCGTTTCTTTCAACTACAACCGGCTTCTCCTTAAGTGGTTCATAAATCTAGCCATCATGACCGAGATGTGTGCGACTTTGTGTATACGTGCTTTCCTCTCTCTTTCTCTCTCTCCATCTTGAAGCTCTCTCATCCCGTTCCCCAGTGTAGCGTAGCATATCGGTCTTCCTAGACTGGTTAACATTCCTGCCTTTATTTTTTTGACACTTCTTCCTTCACTCGAATCACTACCTTTTTTCTTATCCTCTTCTCTCTTCCTACCTCCTTCATATCCCTACCCCCCCCCTAAGATGTTTTGGTTGAGGTGGCCTATACAGAGACGGCTATCGAGCACACTTCCCCCATTCTCTCTTTTTTTCCTCTTTTGTCCCCCTATACTAAGAATAACTAATCTCACATACTTAACTGGAAGCTCTTGAGTTATTCTCAAGCCTTGAACCTGTCAATTAGCCTGTAGCAAGCATAACGTTCCTTACATCTCACACCTTCGTTTCACAGTTTGGCATCCCGTTTCCCATTGGTAGACATGAACAAGGTTACCAAAAGTTGCAGCTTTGGAACAGCATATTATGCTTGTCATAAGCCATCACAGTGAACTTGCTTTGAAACCCTTCCCAAAAATATGGCCTCTCACTTTGATTCATTTACACTAACAGGCCCTTGTGGAGCGAATCCGAAAGCTGGAAATGCACGTGCAACAGTTACAGAACCTGCTGCAGTCCAAGGACAAACCACAGAAGGCACGGTCAGGCAAGCCATTCGACTTCACCCGGTCAGTGTTTTGTCGTCGTCGTCATGCCTACCTTTGCCATCAGCCATTATAGAACCGAGACAAGCAGATTTAAAAAATTCTTAAACACAAAGTGTCAGCATTTCAATGAGCAGACATGTCTTCTAGGCTGCAACTGACAGTCCACTTAACGAAACGTTGCCTCCAGTGACAGAACGCTTTCAAGAATTTTGAACTTGTGCAAGTTTTCATCTTCCCCCCAACTGCTCCCTTTATTAGACAAAAGATGTGATGCTTATGTTGATGCCACCTTGTGGCATCAACATAAACATCACATCTCTTTTGTTGTTGATGCCACCTCGTGGCATGAACAACAAGAGTGCAATAGGGTATCGCAGTGACATTAATGTCGTACTCACTTGCTGGTCTACTGGCGTTTCTTTTGTTGTTGATGCCACCTTGTGGCATCAACAAGAGTGCAATAGGGTATAGCAGTGGACGTCAATGTCGTACTTACTTGCTGGTCTACTGGTGTTTGTAACTATCTAATCATTGATTCATAGGAGCTAGTTATCATTATTCTACTTTAATGCAGCTGTTGTCTCAAAAACTGATTGGTTCAGTCCTTGCAGCAGTGGTTTGCATTTCGTTAGGAGTGAAATGCTAAAGCATGTGTACTGTTCAACTTAAGTGCATGTTAAAGAGCCTTTTAGGCTGGTCGAAATTATTTGGAGCTTTCCACTGCAGTGTCTTTCGTAGTAAGAGTGGTGTTGGGTTGTTACACCCCACAATCTAATCATTATTTGCTCCAACAGCAGGAAGTGAAGTTGCTTCTAATGCATCAGTAGTTGGACAAATCCCATCAAAAGTGATGCTACAACATTGCCTCGTATAGCATCACCTTAGTTCAGGGGAGATTTTGTGCGGTTACCAGTTGACTAAAGAAAGAGCATAAAAATTTCTGCATACACCTGTGCCAACGCCTGCATGTACCACTTTAAATTTGGGTGCATGTTAGTGAAAACCAAGGCATCAAAATTAATGCAGAGTCTACCACTGCTGCATCCCTCATGATCAAATCGTAACATTGGTGCACGTATAACCACGATCTTTATTGTTTTTTCCGAGTTGCCGTTATCGGGCACGGTGTGTCTGCCCTAGCCTTCGTGAGACACGAGGTACAATTACTGTGTGCGCAGATTCAAGCGCCGGCACGTGGCACTGCGCCTTCTCTACCTGGGCTGGGACTACAACGGGTATGTGCTGCAGGAGGATACCGGCCGAACCGTGGAGGCGGCGCTGTTTGACGCTCTCGAGCACACCCGCCTACTCGAGGATCGCGCCACTTCGCACTACCACCGATGTGGACGTACCGACAAAGGTGTCTCCGCCTTCTCCCAGGTGGCTGTGCCTCTCTACTATTCAAATTAAACCCTGTGCTCCTAGGAATTAGGAATCATTTAGAATCCGATTTTTGCCTCACATCCACGATATTGGTGAGGCTTGCCTGCATGTTTTGTTGCAGCAGCAATTATATGAACGCTTGAGTCACGCTGTCGCCATCATGCCCCACATAAAGTCCGAATCGATGATGTCACCCCAATCGTTGTATATTCTATGTGAGGCTGAAAGGTTGCAAAGGCTGCAGACAGATGTGGCTCACACAGAGATGAAATGCGCTAGCTGGCGAAGAAGCATGAGGGGTTGGGGGGAGGGGGGCTGCGTCGGTCAGGCAGCCGCTGCAAACTTTTATCAGAAAGATGTAGTCATGTGTGTGCTATATCAACTGACATCAGTAGAAGACTTACATACATAATGTGCTTGCACCGCTTACTTTATGTCGAAGTGACAGAGCACAAAATCCGTGTCGCTCCTTAGAGCGGCCGTACTCTCCTACTGCAACGTTTTGCAGTTATGCCAGATTGGATCCTAATAGAGTTAGCCGCTAGGCTTAGCTTGAGTAGCATTTCAGTTAGTTGCTACTGCATTTACTGCTTTGCCTTTTGCTGCCAAACTGTGGCACCTTGTCGGTAGAATGCTGTACTTCTGGCATTTACCGACTGGTAATGCCGTGTATTGCCTCGGCATGCCGTGCTGTTTCGTGCAGAATAGCATTTTGATTGGAGTTCTTTGTGGTGCACAATTAAACTTGTATAGGTGTAAAATTTTCAAAGATGTAGGCACCATACTGTCATGTAACTCTGTTTTAGGTGTTGGGCTACTCTCTACTTGGTGACAAGCTCGGGATTGTGTAGAAGACAACCATAAGATAAAGCACTCCTCAAAAAGAAAAAGAAATGGCAACTGCAGCTATAAACAGTCTTGTCACTTTTTTAGACATTATTTACTGATGTAAGGTAAAACAAGAGTACCAGTATGTGATATCCATATTATAGAACATGCTGCATGAAAATAAAAAGGAAGGTATCGGGCAGCTACTGTGAACTACGGTAACGTAACTGTTGTAACCAGCGAAGACAAGAAACAGTAACCTGCTTTGCAAACTGCCTGTATTAGTCTTCTCAAACAAAAGTCCCCAAAGTAAAATAAGCAAGAAGGAAAGTTCATCACATAAATTCTCGCACATGCTATCTTGCTTGAATGCAGGTAATCTCCATTGACCTGAGAACCAATCTTACCGAAGGTGTCGGGGTCTTTGCTCAGGAAGGCTACCAGCCAAGTGCAAGTGAAGGTTTGTTCTTCGTTCAGTATCAGCAGTACAATAAAGTTCAGTTGTTCAGTTTTTGCATTGCACTTTTTTTATGCATTGAACCGTTGGACTACTTTGCTTCCCCAAATATTCTGCCTTCTGTTTCAGAAAAACTGAAGTGGAATGCCTACACTTTCTGTGTGAATTCAGTGGTTGAACAGAGGGAGATACTCGGCCCTCGTTTTGACATTTCTGACTCCTGTATTTGCTATTTGATTTCTGTCCTTGATTAATTCCCTCTGACCTCCTGCTCCCTCATCTTATTTTTCTGCATTCTTGTACCACTCTTTCTGCTCGCTTTTTGTATTGTGCTGACTGATTGACTCACTCATCCACCCACACACCCAATCACCCATCCACTCAAACTTCCTTAAAATGAAGTTGCATCTAACACTAAAATAAGGTAGTTATAACCAAAAATTCGTTATAAAGATATACTTTTAACACTATATGTATTGCAAGATTATTCTTTATTTTATTATTACCAATATTTTGTTATATCTGGGTTCATCATATTGAGGTTTGAGTGTATAACAAAATATTGGTTATAACAAAGTAAACGAAAAATATTCTTGCAATAAATAGTGTCAGGAATAACCTTTATAATGAATTTTTGTATATAACAAGTTTGTTAGCAACCTTTTTACCAATGGCATCAAACTTGATGGTCACATGACCCAAGGCTGTCAAGGTGCAAACACACTCCCACAGCCACTGTCTGAGTGAGTGACTGAGTAAGCAAGCAAGCAAGCCAGCAGGCGGGCTTGCTCGCTCAGAGTAGGTGGTTGGGTGGGTGCAAGCCCACCTGCTGGCTTGCTTGCTTGCTTACTCAGTCACTCACTCAGACAGTGGCTGTGGGAGTGTGTTTGCACCTTGACAGCCTTGGGTCATGTGACCATCAAGTTTGATGCCATTGGTAAAAAGGTTGCTAACAAACTTCTTATATACAAAAATTCATTATACAGGTCATTCCTGACACTATTTATTGCAAGAATATTTTTCGTTTACTTCGTTATAACCGATATTTTGTTATACACTCAAACCTCAATATAACGAACCCAGATATAACAAAATATTGCTTATAATAAAATAAATAAAGAATAGTCTTGCATTAGATATAGTGTTCAAAGTTCAGAATTCTGGGTTATAACTAACTTATTTCAGTGTTAGATGCAACTTCGTTTTAAGGAAGTTTGCATGTATCTGTGTTCATTATGAAGAGGTTTGAGTGTATTTTATCAACAACCTTCTTATAAACTACATAACACATCATGTTTCTACTATAGTAACATTACCCTGAGATGTCGAGGTGCAAATGAATTTTGCTGTTGGCTACATCTGGCTTAGAAATACACACTGTTTGGCTAGCCAGTTCATGTTCAATTAGAAGCCACAGTGCTGGCTGTTTCACACTAGGAACTAATGAGGGAAGGGTCAACTCGTGCAGCGTCCCAGAGGAAGGAGCTCGACTATGTCAAGATAATCAATGGTGTCCTGCCACCGGAAATTCGCGTGTTGGCCTGGGCCCCTGTCGACCAAGCCTTCAGTGCACGGTTTGTACGCTGCCATTCAAAAACCTCAAGGGTCTACATCTAAGGGGGAGCAGGGGTTCTCTTGAGCAGAATAATTAAACACCTAATCGAAAACAGTGTCTCAACAAATGTTCAGTGTGGCTTCCAAAAGGGGTGAACTAGAGAAAACTTGAAAACAGGTGTCTAGGTTCATGATCAGACAGTAGGAGAGGGCCGGGCAGAGCTGCGCTTAGGTGGAAAATGCACTTGAGTGGAAACTGCTTTCCTCGCATTGACAAAAACTCCAATTGAAGGCTTTTTTTTTTTTTTCAGATACGTAGTGATAAGACAAATTAACAAAAACAAATATTTTAAGGAACCTCATTTCTAATCGTATAAATGTGATTATGCTTTAAAAATAAGGGAACTGCATACCGGGACGGACTTGTTCCTGAAATTCCTTTTTGTTGAAAACATGAAAGAGTGGAAGAAGTTGTCTCAAGTGCTAGCGTGGCGTCAAAATGGAAGGTATGTTTATGCTGTAAAAACCCTGCAGTAGTGCCATCAGACAATTAGGCATAGTCTCTAAATAAAGGATAAAAGAACTAAGAGGTAAACAATGGTCCACTGCCTGTAGAGAAATACAACAACTAACTGAAGTAATAGACAAGTGTAATATGGCTATTTTAAGTTCGAAAGGAGCACCAATCTATAATATGATTCATTTTGGCACTGGGAGGTAGCGTGCTATATGCGTAGTACGCCATCATGCAACATTCGCTTCTGAGCAAAAGGTTACAGGGTTGACTATGGGCCGTGGTGGCTGTTCACTATTCGCTATTCAATACACTCACACTTCAATATAACAAACCCGGATATAACGAAACATTAGTTTTGAAAGTAGATAAAAAATAGTTTTGCAATAGATATAGTGTAAGAATATACTGTCATAACGAATTTTTGGATACAAAAATATTTTATGTAAGATGCAACTTTGTTTTAATGAGGTTTGATTGTACTTGCTTTGAGCTTCGTTGAGCGTGATGAGAATAGGTGTGGTGGAGGGGGGTATGTGCACCATGACCTTAACAAAGGGTGGGCAAGACTTGTATGCCTGAAGGAGAAGTTGCTCGTCACGAGCGGTAGCGAGACTTTGCACGGAAGCACTTCAATGTTACGACAGCTTCGATTGTGTGGAACTCAGCTTACTTCATTTTTCTTGTATTTGCAGCTTCGACTGCCGTCAGCGGACATACCGGTATTTCTTCCCTCGCGGCAATCTGGATGTCGAGGTAAACACTACTTTCATACCTCTAGATCTTCACAGGTGGCGTAGCACTCTGATGTCGATTTCAGAGCTGATCTTCTTCCGAGTTGGTGCTCTGAAACAAATTTTTCTGAACTCGACAGCTCACGTTTTTTGATTCCTCCAAGCTGCTGCTATAGGAAAAATTTGTGGTCACAAGCCCTCAGTTTCAACACAGAGATTCTGAATAAGAAGTGGTTTAAAAAGGCAGTTATGTTAATAAATGAAAAATTTGCACGTGCTAAATGTAATACTAACATCAATAGATCAATGTGGTAATGTTTACAAAACTTCTATTTTTGGCAAAATCAAATGCATGCTGTATATAGTAGTGGAGTGCAGTTAAATCATTGTGTAATTTTGGTCTGTGATTGTTAGATTTGTTGCTCTTCAGCGAAACATTTGTTGATGTCCTAAGTGCTTCGTGTATTCTCCTAGCATTGACCATTTCTTTTTCTCTAAAGGATTTGTTCACTGAAAGAAATGAGTCTCAGCAGTGCTCAAGTTCCTTTGCAGCATGCTTTGAAGTGCAATTACTTGCCCCGTTTCTCGCGGAAGGCTTTTTGTGTTCAGCACATTTGCTTTGATGTTGTGTAATAAACATATGAAAGGTAGACAAGTTCAAGCAAGGCAAATATATTCTTTTCTTTTGACTGTCACCATTTAACGTTTTGTTAGTGTGATATTAGCTTTTACACTACATTCTGCACCTACAACCATCTTGGTAAACCACTCATGCAAAGTTGCACTTTCTTCTAACTTATAACTCATGATAAGCATTCCGTTTAACAATTACTTGATCACGCTTAATTTGGTTATGATAGAATACAATTGTAATGTACATGAACTAGCTTTTGCAGCCAGCCTATGCTTAGTGCATGCAACAAGTAAGTACAGATCAGCAAAGAAGTGAGCCATTGCAGGTTACCAGCGCGTGCCTGTGCATTCATTTGTGTGCAGAAAATGTGGGAGGGTGCCTCGCTCCTGGTAGGCGAGCACGACTTCCGGAATCTGTGCAAAATGGACGTGGCCAACGGTGTGACCAACTACACGCGGCGCATCCTTCGTACCAGCATATTCCAGTGGCCACCGTCAAAGCCACCGTCAAAGCCACCGCTTGTTGCTTCGCCTGCTGGGTATCGTAGCTCATAGTTACGGCGGTTCGATTCTCACAGCTTCAAAGCATTTCGTGGTGAATTTAGATCAAATTTACCCAGACTTTGTTGAGAGATCAAAATTTGTTGTAGGAGAATAGAGAACTTGGGAAGTTCGATTATGTTCATCGTGTAGCAGGTCGGTGAATTGTCATGGAGAAAAAATTAAAGAACTGAGTTCTTTTAGACTGAACATTATTGAAGGTGAAGGTTAAAACAGTAGAGCAGAATAAATGTGGATGATGTGAGTACAAAGGACTTGCACTTACGGACTTCCAAGTGGGGTTGATAGAAGAGAAATGAGATTTTATGTTAAAAGCATGTTGCTAACATCGTTTATTGTATTACTGTATAATTATTTATTTATTATTTATTTGTTGTATTATTATTTATTGTAAGAAAACAAAAACGTGATCAAATCAATCCTAAGGCAACCGAAACGACCGCATCAAAGTGTAACGTAGAATCATGCATACATTTTCCGTTTGGGATATGTTCATGCAGCTTCGCGAACCTGCATGCTTAGCGTCTATTCCAGAAGTCACATTGGCGTGCCAGGAATTATTTGTTTTGTGAGGAATAACCTGCAACTGCGCCGATGTGTTACTCTTGCAGTGAAGATGACTCACACACTACCACATTCCACAAGGATGGCATTCGCGGAAGACAGCTACGACCTGTTGTGCTTAGAGATAGTGGGTCAGGCCTTCTTGTGGCACCAGGTGCGATGCATCGTGGCCGTGCTTCTGCTTATCGGTCAGCGGCTCGAGGAACCACAGGTGAGAAATGCGGTGCACATCTTGATCTTGAATTTACGTTGATGGGACACCGAAAAGAAAAATAATTTTTTTTGCCTGTGAGTAAAGTACAATTTTCCAATCCCGAAAACACCACTCTTATCGCGAGACATGCTTGGAAGCGAGCAAACGCGGAAAGAAATAATACGGGTGGAGATGTCGTCATAAAATTCCTGCACGAAACACTGTGACGTATCAGATTTTTGACAGTGTCTACAGCTTCTGGCGTAGTTCTTAATCTGTAAAAATGAAGTACATTAAGTCATCTGTGGAGGCCACAGACCTGACATACACAGTTCCAGAAAATTTCAAAGCCAATGTTGCAAAAATACAAAAAACACATTTTTAAATTCGTGACGCCACATGCAAAGATTTTGGTGTGAAATTTAAAAATGAAACTTCAACCTTGATTTTCGTTTCTTATAATGAATTTACGATGGTAAAACTTTGGACATTAGAAATCTTGGAGTACAGTTTATCAATATAAACCAAAGTCATTGCTTCACTTTGGTGTGCTTTTAATAAGATGCGAGCAGACTAGGGCTGCAGAAGAAGACAAGATGAAATATAATTACGGTGTCATTTTTCTAATAATGCTTTTTGTGTTGTCAGGAAGGATTCTCTGATCTCCTGCCATATTAATGACAATAAATTGTGAAAACAAGAAGCAAACACAAATTGCTGGTCAAAATCACCACCGCTCACCAATGAAACCTTTAGCGCGACTGACACATGCTAGAGAAATGCCCAAGCAATTCAGAGAAAAACCTGTTGACTGGTGATCTGTGATGGATCCAAGTTAGGGTGTTAGTAACACATGTTAGTAACATTTATCATTGAACTGCCAAAAATGGAAATTTATGTTCGAATTGGGTGCATTGCAACATTCTTTTTGGCTAGTGTTCGATACAAATAGAAAGATTGGCTTCGAGCAGTGAAATCTGGAACTAAACGCTCACATTACAATACAGCAAATAGAATGACAATGAGATGAAATTTCCCAATCAGGACACATCATTAATACGAAACAGTGCTTGACGCATGAGAAAGTTAAAGTTTTCATGTTGCCCACGTCTTTCGTCTGGGGCACGTGTTTTCCCCGCAGGTCATATCAGAGCTGCTGGATGTTGCCAAAAACCCTTGCAAGCCACAGTATGCCATCGCATCAGGTAAGTCCAGTAACCACCCTATCGGCTTCTACGTTGGTTCTGTGTAGCATTGAAATGCAAAAATTCAGTGCAGCAACATCGTGCTGCAGAGTTTATGGTGCAGTCACTTTCTGGTGCTAAGATTCTACGGCTGCATGCTTGTGTGACCAGAATGCAATATAATTGCTTTACCTTGCATGGATGGATGTTAATAAGTCCCCTGTTGCCAGAAATTAATGAGCGGCCCGTCGCCATGTCTCACGCTTGGGCTAGTGTTTGGTTCGCACGAGCGCTTTCAATAAAAAAATTCAAGCGGGACGCCCGCGGACTTGCACATTTCACTCACCGGCCTTTTAGATGCAAAGCAGCTCTTTGACTAGCCTGCGTGACACTGTCCCTCCGTCCGCACCGTGCACCCCTTGCCACAGGTGTTGGGGCGGTGCCAAGTTGGCTACACCTTCCCTTGCATTGTGCACGCGTTGACTTCACCCTCTCTCTAGCCCGTCGCCGCTCTTCGCATGTCATCTCTCGCTTCACCCTTTCCACTGCTCGCAACGTTCAAACGCACATCGAGTGAACAGTCTTTTTGCAATGAAACTTGCAGGAACCCCAGCCCACTTCCCGTGTCCTTGCGTTTCAAGCAAACGTTCACTCGAGTAAATGCTACACTGAGTTTTTCTTCAAACCGTTCTTCCAGCACCCGCGTCGACGGCCGTTTCAGCTGGGTCAACGCCATGCGCATCGCTGCTGCTTCGCCTCCTATCAGGGTTTTCTTCGGAGAGACGGTCCATAATTTTTTGCATAGCCTCTGCTCTGTTGCACCTTATATATGAAATGAAGTATGGCTGTCAGCCTTGCACTAAGCTTCGCATGACTAGATCAGAATTTGGAGGATTCAGAGTGAGTGCTTTGTGTTGAAACATCGTACTTCGTGATGTCAAAGTGTGCGTACTCTACAATATGCAGAGCTTCCCTTGGTCCTGTACGACTGCCAGTTCGAAGGACTGGAGTGGCAGCAGAGCAGTGCGGAGGCAGAGGCTGTTGCCACGCATCTGCAGGCACTGTGGACACAAGCCAGAATTAAGTAGGTCACTGCTTTGTCTTTTCAGTTGGAGCTACCGTGCAGCGTAGCATAAACGAAGCTTTTCATACAGATCGTTGGAAGTGTACAGAACAGAGGTTAAGTGTAGATACAGATAAGACAATGTGCATGTTGTCGACAGCAGGTTTGCTATTAACCCTCTGCGGTCCGTTAAACGCAACACGGTCGTAGTGGTCCGTTGTCGGGCACTGCCCGTCAAGGGTGTTTGTGATTTAAATTTTGCAGTTTTCTCACTGCAAGTCATGCGCATTTATTAAATACATGAAGTGCCATCTCTTTAGGAATAGGAAAGCTTTGTTTCTTGAAGTTTACCTTTTTTACACTGGGTGTTCAGCAGCACTGTGTTCAGCATGAGCCTAGAGCGTACCCATTTCCGCTCAGTTCGCTGACAAGCATGGCCACGTTTTCACCACGTGCATTTTACCTGGTGAAAACGTCAACACCTGGTGCTTTTAGCGAAAGTGAGCATGACTTTAGCAAGGAAGAAAATTGCGTGCTTCACCAGACAGGGATGACAGTAATTCGGCAGAAGTGAGTGACGAAGACGACGATAGCGGAGTCAACACCTCTGTTTTCTGCAAAACCTGTAGTAACCACCCTGGCCTACACCCAGAAGAATGCTTTAAGCAGTATTATACGCTGCCCTAACATCGGTAAAGAAGTTTTTCGTAGAGCGCGGGAGCAAAAAATAAATGTCCTGTGAATTTTTCTTCTACAGTTAGTGTTATTTTTCGCGGTGCAAGAAAATGGCAAAATAGCTTCGGATTGGTAGAGCCGAAAATTGGGTGAAAGTTTTGGACCCCAAAGGGTTAATGCATATAATTTATACATTTAGTGAAAGAACCATCAGAAAAGACATGCATTAATGAGGAGACAAAAAAAAAATGTACAAGTGGCAATAACAATAAAGTAAAAAAACTATCATAGGATGTGCAAGACCTTAAAAAGTAGCGTAACCACAATTGGCCATGAGTGTGACTTTCAAATGTAAGTTCAAGCTCTTTGTTTGAAAGACCACAAAAAATACAACCTGGATCAGCCCTAATTGCAATCAGAAATTTCCACGTGAAGTTGGTATTAAATACACATTCTTATGGCGTACATTAGGATTGCGAAACAGACTTGCTGCATCCACTTCAGCGACTGTCATTGCTACACTTTATGCGATTACAGCGTGGTTGCACCATCAACATCAGCATTAATGTTGCACGTGTGGGATAGGCATCGGTGTGCTTTTCAACGAAACATAGTGTGAAGCATAACGACAGACCCAATATGATCGGTGTCCACATTGCATTGTATTCATGTGTAGAGGATGCGAGATAATTGTGCGATTGGAGAGTCACCGCATCTTTACTGTAACTCCCACTTTGCTACTGTGAAGGAGTGCAGTGATGGAGAGCATGCTGGCCACCCTGCCCGATGTTCGGAGTCAACCTCGCTGCCTACTGGCACGTGTTGCACGGAACCACAAACCACTTCTTGAAAGGCCCCTGTGTGGTGCGTCGTCGTTTACTATTCGTTATCACTGTGTGCCTATGGACTGTGGTTGCCTTCCTAATGGCACGAGAGCGTCCGAATATAGTGAGGACAGCATTCAACTGAGCTGGTTTGTTCGTGACTAATGCAAGTTCTACAGGAAGAACTGAAATCATGTGACAATAACCCATTCCTGCATAAATACAGTTGAACCCCTTTATAAGAGACTTGCAACAGGAAGCAATTCTTGTCCTTTATACAAGGTTTCTCTTATAAGAAGGGTACCCTAATTCAACGTTGGCACTCTGGTGTCTCTTATTTCCATTCTCTGTTCGATCAGAGTCTCTTATAAAGGGGTTCGATTGCAACCCACAATGCCAAGTACTTACAACAAACAGAAATTAAAAGATCTTTGCCTATTGCTGCAATTCAGTCTTCATTGCCAGACAGCATTGACATAAAAATACCACAAGTCTAGCTCCTAATTTTCTGCGTTGTGCAGGTCATATGCGACAAAACGTGATATACAACACAGTGGAAAGCCCCAGTGCAGTGCCAGACTAACGTTGGCTATTTTGTGCTCTGCTTAAAGAATGATTTCCCGAAGCTTCCCATGTTTCGTTGCAGTTGTAAACGAGCAGCAAGGCTATAAGTTCACTGGTGGCAGTTAAATAAAAGTCATCAGTAATCTCTTGACCAATTTTTGATTATGCTCTAGTCATCGCACATTATGCTGCACAACAAGCAGTGATGGAAGTGCTACTCCAATTGATCCAAACTGCTCCAAAAGGGAAATGCTGCTCCACGCTGCTCCAAACAGCATTTTTTGTAACTAATTGCTCCAAACCTGCTCCGAAATGGCACTGAGAGAACATGAATGACAAAATTTTTGTTCTCATAAGTCATAAACTGAAAAGAATTCGAATATTAATACCTCAGTATGCTACTAGTGTGCTGCATTATCGGCTCTGGTCTCATTATATAATGCAACAAGAACTGGCATGCTAGGCATATGGCACATTCGGCAGGGCTTTTTTTTCTTCAGCTAGACTTGCACGCTAGTATGTTGAAATGTGAAAGCGATCAAGATTGATTTTATTTCATACCGATTATCTACTGCAGTGATGGAAGTGCTGCTCCAATTGCTCCAAACTGCTCCAAAGGGAAATGCTGCTCCATGCTGCTCCAAAGTGCTATATTTGGTAGTAACTGCTCCAAACCTGCTCCGAAAGGATGTTGGCAAACTAAAACAAATGACGTTGAACCATTAGATCTTCCCATCAGCCTAAGCTAAACCGAAAGCAAGCAGTATACACTATCATCCTAATATGCTACTAAGTGGCGTAAATCCAGAAAAATCTCAAGGGGTCACACATATTAGGCCATGGTGTCCAATCCATATTTTTAATATGAGTTGTATTCATATTTATATAAAAATTAAATCATGCTTTCAAATAAAATTAAAAAAAAAACGAGCATAGGGTTCGAGCTTGAGCAATTGCATTGTTCTATTCAGTCTCTTTTTTTATCACCTTTTTTCGATTTCCATAGATCACAGCTGAGGGGCATTTAACACAGGTATGCAGTAAAATATAAAAAGCGTTTTTAAAAGTTGATCGCGCTATACCTAACTGTTAACTCAATTATAAGCTGAATCTCAAGTGGGATATATGCAAAAAGTGTCCTCCCCAGCCTGAACACCAGAAAAGTCCGAACTCTCTTGACCCCCCCCCCCTCCCTCTCCCCGCCCATGATTTACGCCAACTACACTGCTTTTATACTAGCTGCATACTAGCATATGACATGTTTAATAATACATGTAAGTATTTATTAGATACTAAAGTGATGTTTTAGAATTCAGGAGTCGTTAGAAACATGCATCTGCTCCGAAAACACTAATAGCAACCCTAAGCTATAGCATTATTTTCTGCTCCGAAGACACTTGAAGTTGCTTGAAAGCACCATTTTTTCTGCTCCAGAATCTGCTCTAAAAAGCAAAATGTCACTTCCATCACTGCTACTGCTTATTTAGCAACAGTTATATGGGAGTGTGGTTACTTCTAAAATGTGGCATTCAGCTTTTGCTGTTTGATTTCTGTCACAAATAGCAGTGTTTTAAATTGTAGCCCATTTCACAGCACATCTTTCACAGCCTGCCATTGTTTGCTTCATCAAACTCACATTGATTGTTATGTGTTGAGTATATTAGTATTTACAAGATGCTTTGACAATGGTCTGAACTTTCATTGTTGTGAGGCAAATTTAATATCTGCTCCTAAACACCAGTAGCTGCTCTAAACTAGCATTTTTTATTGTTATGTGTTGAGTATATTAGTATTTACAAGATGCTTTGACAATGGTCTGAACTTTCATTGTTGTGAGGCAAATTTAATATCTGCTCCTAAACACCAGTAGCTGCTCTAAACTAGCATTTTTTTTGCTCCGAAAACACCGGTGGCTGCTCCGAAGCAGTACTTTTTCCTGCTCTAAAGTATGCTCCAAAAAGTAAAAAGTCACTTCCATCACTGTACAAGTGACAGATACATATACATGTGTATTAGCATTATCTATAATACACCTAAACCTCGATAAAACGAAATATTGGTTATAAACGAATTGAATGAAGTAGAAATATAGTTTTGCAGTAGTGCTAGAAATGAACCTTTATCACAAATTTTTGAATATAACGAACTTATTTTCATGTAAGATGCAACTTTGCTATAATGAGGTTTGAGTGTATATTACTTGAGTGTATATTAATGAGTGTATTTCAGTTTCAGTTCGTTTTTCTCACTCAGTGAAACGTTGTGGCAGAAAAGTTAAGTTGCAACTAGTGTAAACAACTGCAGACTTGCCAGCATTCTGCATCTGGATACTTCTTGAAGCTTGTTTCAGTTATTCGATTTTTGGGTGATTAGTTGCATTTGCCGGTCCCTGTAAAAACTTCATCTACAAGATTCTGCCATATGTCATAATTAGTCCGTAATCCCATACATTTATGCCAAGTACAACTTGGAAGGGGACCCACTGGGAAGTTCATACCCGCTCTTGCGTTTTTTTTTTTAGGAAGCTTGGAAGAACGCATGGCGGCACATGCCAAGCGGCGGAAAATTTGCACAGATGACCAGGAGGAAATGGTGGAATAAAACTGCGTGTACAAAGCTCACATCTTTCGTCAGGCTCACTGCACTGGCATTGTTGTCATTCATTCAACGAGGTTCCTTGCAATAAGTTCTGATATGTGTGTGTGGTGAAGATAGGAAAGCCCAGGCACTGTGCCGCCCAAAGATTTGTTTTTTTGCGCTTTCTATCAGAGCGATGGCAATCTACCTTCAGTGTACGCGCTCCGCTTATATTCAAGCATATGTAAATGAACTGGTCGGCCACACAATATCCGATAAATTCGTGTCACGAAGGCCAATGGTAAAACGGTTGCAGATCAGTCGCTCTTATATGTCCCGTGAATAGTAATAGCAGGGTTTCATTTCACTGTATTTCCCAGGGGGTGAAGAACGTGCCGGCTGTCTCACGGGCCTGTTGAACACGTCGGTGAAACCTTGTGCTTCGAAGAGCAGTTTAATAAATTCGTGTCACGAAGGCCAATGGTAAAACGGTTGCAGATCAGTCGCCCTTATATGTCCCGTGAATAGTAATAGCAGGGTTTCATTTCACTGTATTTCCCAGGGGGTGAAGAACGTGCCGGCTGTCTCACGGGCCTGTTGAACACGTCGGTGAAACCTTGTGCTTCGAAGAGCAGTTTGCGTGACCTGTGACTCGAGGCGATTTCAAGAGATGACTGGGCACCAACACGCAACGCTGTAGCGTGCTGTAAGGAGTAACCGACAGGAACGCTGCTGCAAAGCTGCTTGAAAGAAATGTCCTGTCGCAAAAAGTTCTTGAGCTCTAGCCAAACTTTCTACAAAGAAATGATATTAGTTACAAAAAAAAAATCGCCCGTCCTGTTATGAATTCACCTGAGACGACTTGTTTGTTTGTAGCCTGGAATCCATGGCACATACCCACTCTGGGGGATTGGCCAAGAAAACATATAGTATCCTATAGACTGTAACTGCACTATTGCTTACAAAAAAAGAAAAGATAAGAAAAACACCGCACTGGAGTCTGAAGATAATAACTTCAAGTTTTTTTGACGAACTCCATTAAAATTTCGATGGAAATTTGAGACGACTGAAAGGCAAAAACTATCCTCATTTTCTTCGAATTCAATGCACTAAGTGTTTCCTACTTCCCTCCGGGATATTTCTGCACCGAACATGGTTTTTTTTCTGCCTCAAGGATTGGAGACAAAGCTAGCTTTCTGCCCCTCAACTGGTTATGCACTGCACTCATGATTGGCCATTTCAACCAAACGAAGATGTTATATAATGCCACCAAGTTATGTGACATTCTGATACGTCACAAACATTTATAATATCTGACATCATATCATGACATTTTCACGCAATGATGATTTCTTGCATCACTTGTGTTCATGCCGCCAACGCGAGAAGATGCCGGACACCGTCGCGGATCTATTTTCGCTTTTGATGAGAAATTTAAAAATATCGTTTTAATGTACTGTACGGCTGTAGCTCCGTGAAATTGCAGCTTCCGCTGGTGTTCGGGTGGTGGCCATGGGCTGTGTGGTGCCCATGGAATAGCTGTGTGGTGCCCATGGGCTACCATTCACCAGCTTCCGCTGGTGAATGGTAGCCCATGGGCACCACACAGCTATTCGGCCTCTACTCTGCTCGCTACTGAATTAAGATGCCAGATGGAAGCAGAAACAGAGCTGAGCAGCCGGATATTAAGGCTACAACAATCCGTCCACGAATACACAGACAAGCTCAAGCAACTGACCACAGGCTGGATTTTTCATGCCTGGCACCTTGGCTCAAGTTGAGAGTTGGCACTAGACTTCAGACTTTAACAGCACCTGTTAGAAAAACGGGCAACGGTCGCAGAAATGGCGCCGCATATGGAGCTGTTCTTTTCTATTTCACGATGATTTCATTGTTTAAGCTCTCAAATGGTGAAATCACCTGCCATAGTTGCTCATTTTTTGACACTTGCTTTTTCTCGGTGGAAACACATGACAGGCTTTCGAAGGAAACGGATGATGACCTATATCCCTGGAAGCAGGCTAGTGACATTTTGTGCTATTTATTGCATGAACTCTACGCTTACGCATAATGTGCTATACCACTTGAGAGTAGCAAGCACAGGGGAACATGAGGAACCCAAGCTTTTAATAATAGCTCCTGGCAAAAGCTTCTCTCAGAAATCGACTTTCAGTTAGTCAAAAAAGCAACTCTCAGTCTAGCGAACGCCACGGTAACAAAACGATATTCCGCGGATTACTTGCATGAGCTATCTGGTATTGCCCTAGCTAGCAGACAACGAGCGAGAGCCTCGATCAAGTAGTCCCGGACTACTCAAGCCTTTGAAATGAGCTGAGTGCCCAGAACAAGAAGTGCTTCTCGATTATCATTTTCAAGTTTCCATTACATCTTAAACAATGCGATTACAGCCGAAAACTGAGTCGTATAGCAGCTTTGAATGCAGCCGCGGCATTCGTTTGAGCGAGAGACGACGCGGCGGCACCTCTACTCCAGTTGCGGTGCCTGGCAGCAAAACGCCGCACTAGCAGCGACGGCCGCCTCCCATTGAAATCCACTCCTTCGTTCAAGCACTGAAAAACTAAGAGGAGGCACTGCTCCGACTCATAGCCTTAAAGGCTATCTTGCACAACTGTAGGCCGAGTACGAATAATTTTGCATGCATTTAAAAACATTGTTAGAGCGTGTGAGGGACACCTCATTTAAAGAGATATTTATAGGCGTAAAAAGAAAAAAAAAGTCAGAGAACTATGAGCACATTTCGTTTATAGCCTATGAAACACATTACTTATGGCCATTTGCTATATCGAGCCCCGAATGGTATCTTTGCAACCAAAAAGTAAATTAATCATTTTACGGGTACGGATATTTCGTGATCCCATGATGTCCAGGAATGTGACAAAACATGCACTATATAACCTTCGCTGCAAAACAACAAGCATGTGTCAGGAGGTGCAAACCATTTCAAAGAAAAAATGACCGCTCGCACGATTATAACTATCTCGTAGTGATTGCATTTGTTATTCAATTATGCTGCATAGCACTCAGAAGTATTACGCAGCAATTTATAAGAAAATGACACGAGTGCAAGGTGTAACGCGCAAAAAACGCCGGCACTGGCTAGAATGCCCGCATGACATCACAGCACCTCGAACTGGAAATTGGTGCAGACGGGCGCCGTAGCCCACATTCCATTGCATAAGCCATGATTTTGCTATCCACCTATTGGGTCCAAAACTTGAAAGTCTGCAGCATTTCCTCCTAAAGGGCAGACACACCGAAGCCTGCACCAATGGGCATGCACCGTGAGCCTCAAAACTGGTGACCCCACTTCCGGGGAACATCACAAAGTCCACGAGTACTTCGTGATTTTTTTAAGTCATGAAGGCAATTAGCACCTAATGTTCGGTCATCTGGGCAGGGCCATTCCAGACATAAGTTGCACCTAACTGTAGTATGTACCAAGCGATTGCGCTTCGAGGGACCAAGAACCAGAGAGACATCAGTTTCTTGCAAGTACCACAAGTGGAAACCCAATGCGAGAAGAAACCAAACTTGCGCCACACCCATGCATGCATCGATGTGCTAGTGATAGGTTCAGAGGGTGTTGAGGCGAGATCATTGGGGCAAATTCATTGGAATACACCGCACTTAATTAAGACATGAGGCGAGAACAGCGCACATCATTGTTTTCGCCTCGTGCGTTTTCGTGTGCATTATGCTCGGTGTATTCCAACAGTGATAAGCTACACACTGGTGTAAAAGAACCTTTGAACACTTGTAATTAAAACTGAAACTGGAGGTGAATGAAACAAAAAATATAAACAGAATAAGAACATTGCCTGCATTAACACAAGATGAATCACTTGCCAGGCAAGAAGTTACCAATTAGACAAATTTTTCAAAAGTACACACAGCACCATAAATGTACAGCATTTATCATTTGCGACTCGTTTGTGGCGGCACCACGCATTTACGTCACTGACCTACAATGTTAATGAATCACTATAAATAAGTCAAAGAACTTGCTCGTGGCAGTGTAAAAAAATGCAGCGACTCCAAGCGACTGTAGCCACACGAAATAAGTGGACAGGCAGCAGATGACAGGTGCTGTAATGTGTTTAATTTATTTCAATCGAGGCTCACAGAGGGCCGTTCTTCAAGTGTCAGCGTCTCTTTCGGGAAAAGCTGGAGTTCCTTCAACGTCTTCTCGCCATCGACTTCCGACAGCTGCAAACACACCAGAGAGACACCGGTCAGTGCACCGCCCACGACTCCTCGGCTTGGTTCAAACAGCCCTCAATGTGTTTTTTTGGTGTTTTCTAGCTAGTTTCCTTGAAACAATGGCACACTAATGCTTTTAACGTCATAAAAAAAGCACTGAAAAAACGCCGTATAACAATGAAATTTTGACAACATGACAGTGACATAACGGAGCATTTGATGACTGCATCAATCAGACCTAGCAAGCACAGCGGCGAAAAAACAGTTCGAGGCAAAATAACGAACTGCCAAATAGAGAAAACGAAAAGTACTCAAGCAAGCCGTCTGGTATTTCCAAACCTTGATCACTGGACCTATCACTCCTGTAACAAGGACACCCGAAAAATGTAGTGGATTGATTGACAAAGACTATGATGGCTGTTTACTACTAGGCTTGTGCGAATATTCGAATCGAATTTAAGTAATGAAAATTTCGAATTATTTGAAACAAATGAATAGGTGCATATTAATCTGCATGCAATGCTCCATAATGGTGGTGTCACTACAGTGAAGGGGTGCTAAGCCATGAAAACACCTATTCAAACGTATTACACTCAAACCTCGTTATAACGTAATGGGATATAACGAAATAATGGATATAACAAAGTAAATAAAATTCCCCTTGAAAGCTCCATTGAGAACCATGCATTTTAAACCTAATTGTAACGAAATAAAATTGACCGGTAAATAGATAAAGCGAACTAAATTAGTCTATCAAAAAAAAAAAACCGACTGTAGTGTGTTTAGTATATAGTTTTCTGTGGAGTTTGACACTCGTTCTGGGCGGCTCTCTCAAAACTAACGCGCCGACCTTATAGCCACGCCACGCGCGGCCAAGAGAGCCATCCTCCTCACACAGCCAGCGGAGAGGATTGAGGAAGCGCTCAGCGGGTCACAGGATCGAGAAGCAACGCTGCGGTGCAAAGCAATTTCCCTCTCCGCACCTTAAAGACGGCAACAACTGCGTCTCCGCTGTTACCCTCGCGGCCTTGAAAGGAGAAGGGTCTCTACGTGCAGAGACGAAAAAGGGAGAAGCGTGGCACAGGCACGTCGCGGATCGGCATTTGAGAGAGAGCAAACAATTCGCCGCAGTCTTTTCTTTCCCTTTCTTCTTTTCCTTCTTCACACACAGCGTTGGGAGGTACCGCTGCAGGATTGGGCGTGGCGCTGAGAGCATTTTCGGAGCCCGGTATGTTTGAATTAACCGCCGCAAGTGCTTTCGCGTTCGAATTACAGGGCGTTTTTGCCCATAGGAATACACATAGCTCTGATGGGACCTCAGCGTAAGCGTGTTCGAATGAATGAGGTTGGACTGTTTTTATTTTCCATAGCACGCGTGATCGCGTAGCGGTACATCACGCCGCGAGCAACGGTACATCACGCGGCGAGGCAGTTTCCTTCTTTGCATGCTTATAGGTGTGCGCCCATATGAGCATACATTGCCACAAACTGTTATAATATATATAACGAAATAATGAATATAACAAAATAATTGTGGCTCCCCTTCAACTTCGTTATAACGAGGTCTGAGTGCAGTGCATGTAGATGTGGTTTCATTGCAGTAAATTCATGCTAAGCTGTCAAAACACATATTCAGCAGAAATATGCACTGCAGCAAAGCCCCACTTCAAGGTTTCTGTTTTTTAAATTTTGTTTTCAGTTCAAACGTTCATTACACAGACTTCTATGCTACAGGTATAGCAAGTTTTAAAACATAGAATATTTTACTGGCTATCACTAGAACTGCACCGAAAGTCAAATCCTGCTACTACACAAAGTTGTTGTTGCTTCCTTTGATGCAAAAAAATAGTCTTTGCACAAGCATTGTCTCAAGAAAAAAAATATATATTTTGCAGGTTAGTTTGGTCATGACAAATATGCCCCCTTTTCTTAATAATAGGTGATATATACATACTATTCGAAATTGCTTTGACCCTAAGATTTACTATTTGCGCAAGCTTACTGTTTACATATAGAGGTGCACTGGCAAACCCACAATCCAATAGACTCAAGCTGTTTCTGCATTAGTTTTGTGTGCCACATTGAACAATCAAAAAAACAATCGTCACTACAAGAAGCTGTATTGGACTATTTATATGTTTGGTATTAAAGGGGTACTGACACAAAAACTTCGGCCTCGCGTTTTTCTGCTGCAATGTGTTGCCTGTTAAACATGAGACGACACATTGTTTGCTGCAGCACACAACAGATAATTAATTACGGGCCCCTCATTATCGCTCTAAAAACAGGGTGTAACTGTCGCCACCTAGCGTGTGCAGATCTTGACCACGTCACCACACAAAACTGTGACACGCTTCCGCACGGTCTGCATCATAAATTACTTCCGAATAGGAAATAAGACTGCAGTGTCGCCAAACACATATCTTTCTAAGCATGCGCCATGGCCACGCACTCGCAACCAGCCACTAAAAAGTATAGGCTGCGAAAACAAACGTAGAAAACAAAAAGGCGACTATGGCGACATAACTTGTTTTGTTGACTGCAACGCGGTGACGTCAGGGAAGTAGGAGGTCACCTCAGGGTCCCCTTCGACGGTGTCAATGGCGCGATGGAGTTGAGGGCTCACGCAAACTTCAGAATTCTTTTAAATTACTTTCCCAGCTATATTCGCTGTTGGTATTTTGCAGATGATATACGAATGTTCTTGGGAATCGACCCCAAAGGCTATCTTGGCTGCGAAATTTTGTGTCAGCGCCCCTTTAAAACCTGACACGATGTTCAGTACTATTTCGTATGCTGACATGAAATATGATTTCATTAAACAGATGTATAAAAATATTAGACGTATTCTTTATGTTCAGTCGGCAAACCACAACCTGTTCAACTGTTCTGTATAAGATTCTTCCTTTTCAAAATGTTCAGTCTTGACATGTCTTTTAATGATTGTACAATCGAGCCCACATATCACGGCCCCACTTAAAGTGAACTTCCGCTTAAAACGAACAATATCCGCGTGACCGTGAAAATATACATTAGTTCAATGGCACAAAATCACACTTACAACGAACTTCTCCAGGCACCACTGATCAGTTACAGCGAACGGAGTCAGCGGTCTGCCGACTTCCCGGGAAAACAATTTCGACCACCGATCGGGCATCGGCGAGGTGCTTACACATTCTTATTGTTAAACGCCGACCCCGCCTTCGCGAACCTCTTGTTGCCGCTCTCCCCAACCCATGGAGAAAGGAAAGCTGTTTCCTTCCTCCATGCCTCGACTGCTTTTTGTTAAGCATCCCTCCGTCCTTTGTCCCCCCCGCTACTCTGAGCACCCAGCATCGCCAGACGAGGCCCGTGTTTTCACACTGCCACCGATCTTTCGAAAACCGGTCGGCCATCTAGCATATTTTGATCGCTGGTACTGTCGTTGGCGTCGCCGGCCTGGAGTGACCAGACTGTTTGCCAACATCATCGGCCACAGACTGTATCCGATAGTCTGCGTCTAGTGCACGCGCGTACGCTACCCCACCAACTCTGATAATTTGCGATTCATTTCGTGTTTAGGACTTGTTCTCGCTCACTTCGCACTCAACTCAGCATGCCTTCCCCGCGCGTGCGGAAGCGCGGAAACAGCTGTTAATTTGCCCAGAACGAATCTTGAAATATTGAAGTTCATGAGGCCACGCAAACCAGCCCGTGCAACAAAACAAAATATTGACCACGGCCGCCGATTCTCCGAACACCACCGCACGCATCGATCCAGGCGGCCACGTTTTGACTTCTGCACGTGCAGGCACTCTTTCCAAGTTTATCTACGTGCGAGTTTCGCGGACCTTTCAAGCAAGCTACCCAACCTGTCTCTTTCCTGTGTGTTTTGGTATTCAAGGTCGCCCTCCCGCCACATCCTCCCCTCTCTCTATCGCAACTTCTTGCTCTTCTCTCACAAGTTTGCTCTCCTCTCTTGATCACAACTGCTTCGCCCATCTCCACCGCTCCGCTATGTCCGCCACGCTGGCTCGAATTAGTTTCGTTTTCTGACTGGAAACGGGCCCAGAGCTGTTCCACGCGTTCTGGCATGCGTGTCACGTGTGTCTTGCTCGCTCTTGGTGTGCGTGCGTGGTCATGGTGGCCGATGGAAAAACTAGCACGCTTTTTCCTGCCGCTCAACAAAACGTCATAAGTGTGAACGCTTGGCTTGAGCGTAGTCCCTGCGTTAGGTGCCGCGTTGCAGAGCGCTTGCTCATAGCCGTTGACCACCTGGCAGCCAACTTGCTGCTTCGGGCGTCCCGATATTCAGCTGTGGAGATGGTGAATATTTCATGGGCGGCGGTGACGGTTACATGCCCGCAAAACTGTCTTCGCGAGGCCGACTTCGTCAATGTCGGGCCCGATGCCGAGCCTGAAGCTCCTTAACAGGACCACTGCGGCGGCGATTTGTGGCAGCACGCCGTCGACTCCGACCTGGGAGAGCGGGTGGGACATCTGTTGCGATGGTTTAATTACGGTCGGTGATGATACCAACACTGCGGAACCGTGCACGGATTGGGGCATTGTGAATGAAGTACGTGGCGAGAGCGATTTGGAGCAGTCGGATTGCGAGAACGACGAAACTTTGGAGCCAGTGCCTCATGCAGCTTGTGCCACGGGCCTTGGCGAACGAGCACCCTGCAGTTTTAAATGAACTCGAGACTGCCCTTATCATTTCTGCTCTTCAAAACACGTGCACCACGGACTTTTGGGGGCAAAAAAGTTTGTGTTTCATTTACTACGAACTTCGGGATACAGCGAACGGATGCTGCGTCACGCTCAGGTTCGTTATAAGCGGGCTTGGCTGTATAACCCTGTGCCTTGCTTGTACATTTATTAGCATTATAGTTCTATGGATCCACACTAGCATTCTACTAAAGAACAAGGTTTTGCTTTACTGTATTTCATTTTACAAAGTTCAAAGTTAAAGTTTAAAAAGCTCAATCCTTGAGGATTACAAAGGCCACTAGGACACAACACTGGAACAGGCACGCGAGGAGTGAAAAACAACAGTGCTCACGTCTCGTCGGGGCCATGAGGCGAGCAGGCGATAGCGCTGCGAAGGGTAGCCGCACGAGGCCACGTACAGCATCAGCTGGCTGAGTGGAGAGTTGGCCAGAAAGCGCCGCGTCAGCACCTCGCCCGAGGGTAGCCGCACCCGCAGGTGGGTGACGGGCTCGTTGTTGCACCCGTTCTCGGGTGGCTCGGCAGGCACGAGCGCTGCTAGGGACTCCAGCAATGCCTGCACACGTGCAACAAGGAGGCATGGCTCACGTGTCTCACAAATGAACAAAGGGTAACACAAAAGCTGGGGTCCTAAGTCCAAACAGCAGGATACGATCAGACGGGACGTTGCGGTGGAGAGCTCCGGAAATTTCGACCAGGTGGATTTTTTATTATGCATCTAATTCTTACAAAAGCACACAGGCCTCTACCATTTCACTGCTATCAAAATGTGGCCACCGCTGCTGGGATTCGATCCCATGACCTTCGGACCAGCAGTCGAGCACCATAATGACAACACTACCACGGCAGCAGAAATAAACGAGGCCTGGGAAACAAAACGAGCAACGTGTTCTATAATTGTACGTAGCCAGGTTATGGAAAGCATAAAGACATTACTTGTAGTTTTAATTTGAGGTGTAATGACTACACTCAGATCTCATTATAACAAAGTTGCAGCTTGCACAAAAATAAGTTCGTTCTATCCAAAAATTCGTTACAAAGGCATATTTTTTAACACTATATCTATTGTAAGACTATTTTTCATTTACAGTAGACTCTCAGTAAGTGGAAATCATCTGTTAAATAGAACTACTGCTTAAACAGAACTATTGTCTCTGCAATGCTTGGTTTCGCTATTGTATTCTGCACCCATGTTCACCTCGCAGTAAACAGAACTCTCGTTTAATTAACATATTTTCTCGGTCCTTTCAGGTTCCGTTTACTTAGTAAACGGAACTCCTGTTAAATGAAACACATTTTCCCGCTCCCTTCAGGTTCTGTTTACTGAGAGTCTACTGTACTTTGTTATAACCAATATTTTGTTATATCCCGGGTTCACTATATAGGGGTTTGAGTGTATTAGAAATTAAATTGAATGAAAAAACAACATACTGCTGATCAGGAAAATTTGAATTTTGCGAAGGTCGCTGGTTGAATCAGGCAAGCAAATATTCGTAAAGCCCTCTTCTGTGTTTCATGAGTTTCTTCGAAATTCTCTATTGATTCTAATGAAACTTGCAGAGTTTGCTTGCATTTTTTGTGTACTTAAAAAAATTACGCCATTATTTTTCCAGTAAAATGTGTACCGTACTTACTCGCGCAATCCTTCCACTCGCATAATTCTTGCACCTGCAACATCGCCCTAACGAATACAACTTTTTTTTTTTCCTCGAGTAATTATCGCACCCCCGAAAGCAGCAGCAATAATGCCGTCTTCTCGTTCCAGCCACTGATGATAGCGTGCACTTCTGGCGCCATCTCTTAAGCATCAAGCGTACTATTATTGCACGGAAATTCAATCCAAGCCAAGCCAAAGGAGTAAGTGCACGTTGCGGCGTGTTTTGTATGTTGTGTCGGTAATCTTGTCACGTTATGGTGCGATACTGAAGCTACACGGCTGCTTTCAAGTTGAAAGTGATAGATCATGATCTAAACAACGGCAACAGAGCCGCTGGTAGGCCTTTCAGAGCATACAAGTTTTGTGTTCACTACTGGTGACAGCATCTGAAAGCCACCAAGACACGTTAGGCCTGCCGTGTGCCTAAATCTGGGATTGATGGTAAACTTTATTTCTTCAGAAGGAAACTGCTGACGATTCTGTTAAATAGCTATCAGCCCAATACTGACGTCCTATGCCTACCTTTTGAGGGCTCCTGTTGAGCAACGAACTCTACTGTTACGCCCGTAACACCCACAAGCTTTGCGTATGGTATTCTAATTCTCGACTATTTGTTTGCACTTTTTGTGTCTCAAATAAATCTTGCCTTGAGTTGAACCTGTGCTTTTATTGTTGAGGTAAGTTTTAATTAGTACGTCTCAAAGCTTGCTGTTAGTTGCTGGTGTGAGAATCCCGATTTGCGGCCACTTCGTTTTCTTTTTCGTGCCGTACGTTTTCGTGGAAACTTTTCCCCGTGTAATTCTCGCACCCCCGAATTTCGCATCAGTTTTCCGCCAAAAAAAGTGCGAGGATTATGCGAGTAAATACGGTAGTTTATAAAGACATCAAATACTTCCTGTGCTTTGTTGTGTGGGAAACTTTTCCTCCTCAACGTAGTGCTCAGGAGGAAATGTTCCACCCTTGCGAGTGATTTGTAGGGTCAGCAATCACTTACACAGTTACCTTTAACAGATCAGTTAGTGCAACTATTCATTCAGAAAAATCATTCCATCTTACTGCTGCCAACAGAAATGGCGATTTCGTATTTATAATGCACAAGAATACATAGTACTTTATATACATATGCCAATGGCACCCAGCAGTGCCCACTTTGAGGGGCCGCACAGTGCTTACCTTTTGGAGCTCCTCCTGGTGCAACTTCTCGTCCCGCTGCAGCGCCCTCTGCCGTTCTTCTTCGGTTTCCTTCTCCAGCTGAGCCTGCTCCAGCCTCTGTCGTTGCTTATCCTGCGCACGCAGACAAATAACACATTGCGTATCTCACATTACTTTAAGACGAGGGGTGCTGCAATCGAAATCTTTTTAAAAAGTTCTTTATTTAAATGAAACTCACAGAGTATATGTATACTTTGTGAGCTGATTTCAAATATGCAATCACTTTTGTAGTGAATATTCAGTTTTTGTATTCCAGGTGCCATTTCAAGAGCCACAGTTTGTCTACACTGAGAGTTACAAAGTAAATGAGCACATCAGAATGAGCTGAATGAGTACAGAGTACAAGAAAACAAAAATGGATGTTTTAAACCCACTGGAACAAAATTTGCGGTACGTCAAATGTTTGTGACTGGAATCCTAGCTTGATGTAGATACATTTGCAAATAAATAACATAATATTAGTTCAAATGAGTTTAGAACATCTATTGTTTTCTTGCATTCAGCACTGTTTACACATCTCTATCTGGATGGCAATGCAGAGTGAGAAGCAAAAGAAATGGCTTTTAATAAAGTTTCATTAGCCAAGGTTGGCTTACAGAACACAACACTTTTTTTCTACTGAATTCCTGTCTCAATTGCACCAGGCCCCCAGTGTAGCCAACACAGATGTGATGCTGGCATTCTTTTTAAGTATGTACCTTGTCGTCCCAATGGTGCGACACTCTCGAGTCGTCCCTTTGTCCAAGGACAAAACTATAATGTTTGCCCATCCGACATTACATATTTATTCATTTTAATGAAATTGTGGTGTAAGCACATGAGTAGGCTTGTGCGAATTGTATATATTTTAGGCTCAAAGCAAATTCAAAGCGAATAGCAATTCGGTTGAATAATTTTAAATCAACAAATATCATACATTTATACATATATCACATATTTATAAAAAAAGTGAGCACATTTTAGCATTGCCATTTTCTGGCCATGTTGGTAAACAGAACTCGAAAACATATCGAGCGCTAAAAAACAGGGACGGGTTGTCGTCTCTCTTATGTCCCCGTCTCTTAGCGTTCAATATGTTTCGAGCATATTTGTCATGACCAGCACAATATTTACCAGCACAATATTTACCAGCACAATTTTTATTTTATTTTCGATTGCACTGACTGACCCTCCCACGTTTAGATGCACATGTATAACCATAAAGTGGACGGGAGGATGACCACCACTGTAGCTCAGAGGTAGAGCACCACACGCGTTATTCAAAGGTTGCAGGCTCAGATCCTGCCAGTGGCAGGTTATCTTTTCGTCCACTTTTCTTTCTTCACATTTAGGTCACGATTACCTCTTATAACGTCTCCTATGCTTCTCTGAGCATCATTATCTGTTATTTGTCATTGATATTGTGATGTACATTACAATGGGGAACACAATAATGCAGCCAAGAAAGTTAGGTGAGGAGTGCAAAACCCAGCACAAAACGCGTTCATCCACATCTTTTGAAGTAAACTGAACACGCTGACAGACGCAAGAGTTAGCTACCTTCTCCTGGTCAGCTTCAAGAGAAGCCTGGTAAGCCGCGTCCTGTTCCCTCCGCACCTTGTCTCGGGCTTCCCGCTCTTCCTGAAACAAACAAGGGAACACGCAAACTATTCATACGACAAGTCCAGTACACCGAGAGGTACACACCCCAAATTATGCACTAAACGCAATCAAATCAGCCTCCAGCACATTGAATGGAGAGCGACACCAAGTCAGAAGTTTGAAGCTCCGAACGCCGTGTGAACAATCAAAAAGGGCTCATGCACACCTCGTACTAGACTGGTTCAATTTGCATCCATTTAGTTTGCGAGGTGCTTCGTCCCAACACTCATTTCTACAGCAGACTAGTCCCTGTCTTGCCGATTTTTTTTCCTCCTCTACAGCGCATTCGTACAGAAACGGTGACCCCTGAACCACACGATGATATCTCAGATTTTGTAAGCCAAAATGATTGATTACGAGACATGCTCAAGGCGGTTAAAAAAAGTGCTGGAGTGCAAACCTTCGCAGTGCATAGCCGACAAAGGTGCAGCTGCGGTTTGCCCCAGGTTTATGTTTGAAACACACACAGCTATTTCCAGGTGGTGCCTGCCTAGAGGTAAAGTGGCTTTTGTTCTGTTGGAGTAAACACCTAGGCGAATGATAAAATAATGGATTGTTGTTTGCTATGAAAGTAGTTTATCTAGAAGACTGCTGATGACCTGATCTCCAAAGAAATTTGGCTAGATGTAAAGGCATCTTAACTCTTTACTACCTAACGTCGCAAAGTCGCAGCATAATAAAAAACTTCTAGCAAGCAAGTCATGGAAGCATGCCACTTTTAATGCCGCCTGTTAAGTACTCACGGGGAACGCAGCTTGCATAAAAAAACTAGAACTATTTTGTGTAATGTATTTTATGTTAGAACCAATTATTCTGTAGTTGATGGCAGAGAGCGCGAAGCACATGCAAGAGCGCTCACTTCTGTGCTTTTTCGCCTCGCTAATGCAAGTTCCATCCTCAATAATTTTGAGCACACCGACATGTTGAGTATTTCTGAAGTACGCTTTTTCATTCCAAGGTGTTCGCTTCTGCGGCATGTGGAGAATTTGCGACAGACATAAAAATATGCATTAAAGGTGACTTTTAGATAATATAACAATGGAATAATTCAAAGGCTGGGAAATGAAAACAATATTTATTTTCTTTGCCAGTTTCATAATCCAGGCATTAAACGGTTAACCCAAAGGCACATGTCAAGCACTATCTTCCCAAACAGATTACGCATACTAAACTAGGTGTGTGAGGAAAATGGTGCCTTTCATTCACTACCTGCAAACTTCATATCTTGCTGCTAGTACGATGACAGTTCCTGGCTTCACTTTTGAAGCATAAATTCCACTCCAGCATTTTGTTATTATTCCTTCTTAGGCACAGTGTGTTTACACCTCAGAATTTGACCATACGTGCAGTTCATGATATTTTAGAACTTGGATGAATGACGCATGACGATTAAAAGGAAGGTGTGTGCTGCGCCGGAAACCTTGCTATTCGTTTACAGTATTGCGTTATGCACGTGCTTTTGAAGCTAAGCTATGAGCTTGTCCGGAGTGTTGCAAGCAAACTGGATCGAACTTCAACATAATTAGTTAACAGGTTAGTTGGAGCTCATCCATAGTGACATTTAGCACAACAAAACGACACAAGAGAGATGACAGGACACAGCCCAGGTTTCAACCAGCAACATTTTCATTGCAACACACACTTTTATACAAAGATTACAGACTGAATGATCATATGCAATGAGCATGAAGAGCTGAAACTATCGTGACATGTAATTAGCAGAGAATTCAATGCAAGCTCAAAAACTAGAAAGGCAAATAAAGTTCATGTTGTAAGGTATCAGTGGATCATGCAAAGTAACCACGACGACATGTTCAAAAAAGAATGCATGAACCTATGCATACACATGATCTGGTCTGTTTTCTCAATGAAATGTGTCTGATGTAATAAATGCACATCATACAAAAGTAGATATGTGTACCATCTTGCTTGCATTGTTTTGTCATATTAAATGTTATTAATTTTACTATGAACACTTCTACAGAGACCTGTGCTAGTAAATCTTCACTGAGAAAGAAAGAAAAAGATAACGAAACATGATCAGAGAGCATGGAACGTTTAATTTTCTTTGCTTTGCCCAAGGCCCTACTACAGTGCCTTTCAAGTGCTGTTTGACAGTGTATGCACTGAGCAGCACAGAACACGTTTGAGAAATGACATGGCTCGACAAAATGCCTTTTTTATAAGTCACCAAACGTACTAGCTCCGACCAATGGAACTCACCTCTTCTTTGCTTTCACTGGCCATTTCGCTGCTGAATACTTCAACAACTTGCATGAGCCTTGTCATGAGGTCGTCGAGCTCCACACTGCCTGCGGGGACAAGCACGAAAGGTCACGACAAGAACACACATGCGCAGTTCGTGATCTTGTTTACAAGACAATTTCAGTTTGGCGCACGCATGGCTGTACGTGCGCAACATCCGGTGTGCTGTGTACTCTACATTCGAGGCGGCCACTTACACCACTAGTTTACTGTGCGCAACAGCCGAAAAATGGGCTGCATGTGAGCATCAACTGGAGCCTTGAGTTTGAATGTTGACTCGAGCCATCTGGTGGCAAAGCATTCATAATCGATATTGGTCGACAGAATACACAACTCGATGCGTGAGACAACAAGCCACGCTCTTTCGAAAAGTAGTGACTCGAGCAAATCGCACTTTCATTGTCAGAGTGGTGCGGTGCGAAGCAGCACGATGGACAAAATGACAAAGTCGAGCGCATATTGCCAAGTTTACCCTTTCCTCAGACATTTTGTAAAAGAAAGAGAAAGAAAAAGAGGTATTGCCAAATACAAAAACAGCCAAACCACTTGTGTCAACATCTTCCAGAAATACCAGCTCTGTTATTTACGCATGGACATTCCTCACATGCCGCGTCGGCTGCTACCGCAACAGAATATTTTGCACACATTACCGGCATGTGCGAGATCAGCACACTCCAAAATCTGCTGAAATGTGTTACCTTCACACCTAAATAGTAGTGCAAAGTGCCCCTTCATAAGCTTGTGTGAGTTCCACCATCTTTGTTTTAGGAAATGGGCATGGTGTCAGGAGCAGTTGCTCACATCGCAAGAAGCCACTTATCACGTTGCTTAGATGGCTTTTCGTGAAAGGCTCCATCATCACTCCAGCTAGCTGCATGTGGTCCCCTGCTGACTTTGTCCCCTGCTTTGTGGAAAGAGTGACCAGCGCCTCCTTCGGATGGCTGTGACGGCCGGCTATAAAAGCCGAAGCATCTTTGTAAAGTGAACTGAATTTTGAGCTGCCTCATGGGCTGAATCTTGCTGAATCATGTGAGCGGAATCTTGTACTGAATCATGAGCTGAACCTCTGTTGTACATAATGCGGGATCTTCTGGATCCCTGTACAGTTCCTTTCCTTCTTCAATAATGTAAATAAAACCTTCGCTCTTCTTTTTATGAGCGCGTTTCCTCACTGGCGAAGATCAGCTATGCGGACGACGGCGGGGTGCCAGCTACCCTAAAGAGAAACCCGCCGTACCTGCCATCAACTGCCTCCTAACCTTAACTGGTTGGCAGCGGTGAGATGGACTTCACGACATGGTGCTGTGCTGTGGTGAGTACTTGCTCATTGCTTTGACTTTTCAGGCTTCATTTTGTGAGAGCGATTTGAATAGAAGCTGAATTGTGTGTGAGTTAGGGAGATCACCTATTTGTGTGTTGGAGGGATCCCTTACATTTATGTGAGATGCAGGACCAAAGTAAGCCAGCAATCATGGAGGTGAGGACACTGCTAAAAGATGGTCTTTTGTACATTTGTGAAGACCTAGGTATTAAGGTTAAGAAAGGAATGGGCAGGTCTCAAGTTTTAGAGCTAATTTTGAAGAACGCCAGTGAGGAGGATATTGGATACTCGTTAAAAGCTTTGAAAAGGTTGGAGGAACAAAAGCAGATAAAAGAAAGAGAAGAAAAGGAAAGAAGGAATAGAAAAGAAAGAGAAGAAGAAGAAAGAAGGGATAGAAAAGAGCGTGATCGAGCACGCGATTTGGAGATTTAACTTTTGGAACAGAGAGTCGAGGCAACGAGACAGAAGATTCAGCCATCCGCAACTGTAGTGCCCGAGGAGTGCGATAAAAAAAAAAAGAAGTGCAGTGCAGTTTGGAGCAGTAGAGGAGGCTATGTGTAAAGACAGCAGCAGGTTCGATGATGAACCAAATCTGAGTGCTACGAAAGAAGCTGCATTGAGTAGAGAGGCCGACAAAGGCCAGAGCGAGTGCGACTAGGTGCTGTGCCAGTTAAACGTTAGTGAAACAGCTATGATAGCTGTAGAAAAGCTGGTACAGACCTCAACTGTGCTTGTTGCGACGTGGATCTGTTACGTTTGGAGCTGTTACGTTTGGCCCGGCAATTCGTCTGGGCAGACGCCATTGTGCGTAAGCCAGTCTAGGGGGAGGCTTTCAACCCCATCGGCACCCAGTCTGCAAGACGCTATCCGGTAGACGTTCTGGGAAACAGTCGGGTCTCAACGATAGCTTTGCGAGGCAAGCCTTTTGTTGAACGGGCCCCTACTGTGGGGGAATGGCGCCCATTTCTTAAACCCACAAAAAAAAGGAAAAGAAAACCTTCGGGGTAACGAATAGGCATTCGGGAGTCGAGTACCTGGAAGGATTATTTCTACTGTTCTCACCCCCCCCCCCCCTCGCAAACACGAGGACCGGGCGGCGCCTTGTTGTCTACAGACAGTGTGACAGTGTACGGTGGCAATAATCCGCGCGCACCCTTCCGATTTGTGGCATGGGGGAGCAGCACAGCACCTTTTGTTGGTTCAGTGAATGCGACCCTGCTGCAGCGCCTGTGCCGGGTCCGGCCTGACTTTCCGTCAGCCTCCATGGCTCCAGGGCTCATTACTGCGTTCTGCGCGGATGGCCACCCGCGGCGTTGAATGACGATGAAGCGGCGGCTGCGGAGAATTTCGCCGGAGACACCGAGCTGCATGGAGACGTTGAGACTCGTTCTGGACATCGGCTCATCAGGTACTAAAACCGGGGCAATTGGTTCGGCCGAAAACATTTCGGCACAACACTGCAAACCCCGGACGTTGGCTATTACAGACGACGCACTTAGTCGGAAGCATCGGGACCATTGTTCGTCCGTAATTCACGTGTCTTGGGAAGCTCGCCCATCTCTCTCTCTGAAGCTTGAGTTTGTACATTGTTACTTGCTCGGCTTTGTTTGGGGGAGGGTTTTCTACTGGTGTGGGCCGCGTGGGCGGCCGTCGGAGATGATACACTTCGACTGACAAGAAAATACGCCATGTCGATATTCGCGATTGGTTTGGTGACCCGGTAGGGCGGAGCCGGAACCAGAGAAAAGCGGCCATGGGTCAAGGAAGGGGGAAATGAGAAGAGTCATTCCGGAAAAAAAAAAAAAAAAAAAGAAGTACACGGCAACAGAAGGGGACAGATCAGACCTCGACGCCAAGAACCAACCTTGGGCCCCGACTCGAGCAGCCAACTCCGAGGCCCCGACTACATGGACATTCTGTGAGACGAACTTCACCTCCCTTACTTAAACGAGCTTTGCGGGAAGGGATACGGCATATTGAGACATCGTGCGGTTTTATTAATTAATGACTTTATCATTTGTGTCGTCCTGTGTTTACTCTGTACTGAGGCACCCTTGTATTGTCACCGTTACTTCGCTTATGTATCCTGTTTCGCGTGTCGCGAGCATTTGCTGATGTGTTACAATTTCGTGTAACAGAGATGTCGTTCACGGACAGTATGTGTGTACGCCATTTGCACTTGTTATTGGCTTAAATGCAACTATGATTAATAAAAGATCGTGACGTCTCTTACTTCCCGGCCCCAGCACAAATCCCTGTATGTGGAAAGTGATTGGGACACGTAGCCAAGAGGGAACCGGATAAAAAGGGGGTTGAGGGGTCTTCCCTCTCTTTGGCGATCGGTGGCGTACAGGGGACGTCTCAGTGCATCGGAACTGCCTGAACCTGAAATTAGCGTGCACCGCTGTTGACCGTCGAGTTAGCGGCCATGTCCCTGGAGGAGCGCAACTTTCCCTCTCCGGACTCTACCTCCTCGCCCTGCGGTGCCTTCAAGGCGTGGGCCAGGTGCCTGTTTCTGTGGTGCGTTCCGGTTACCATTGGACTGTTTCCCCCAGCCGAGTGGTGCAATATCTGCACCTTTCCTGGTGGGTGGACCACAAATACTTCGTCCCCTGCTTTGTGGAAAGAGTGATCAGCGCCTCCTTCAGATGGCAGTGACGGCCAGCTATAAAAGCCGAAGCATCTTTGTAAAGTGAACTGAATTTTGAGCTACCTCATGGCTGAATCTTGCTGAATCATGTGAGCAGAATCTTGTACTGAATCATGAGCTGAACCTCTGTTGTACATAATGCGGGATCTTCTGGATCCCTGTACAGTACCTTTCCTTCTTCAATAATGTAAATAAAACCTTCGTTCTTCCCCTTATGAACGCGTCTCCTCACTGACGAAGATCAGCTATGAGGACGACGGCGGGGTGCCAGCTACCCTAAAGAGAAACCCGCCGTACCTTTTTCCGTCACCCCCATATTTCTCTATGAGAAATAAAAGTTGATTGATTGATTGATTGATTGACCTGCCATCAACTGCCTCCGACCCTTAACACTGTACAAACAAAAAATGGAGCCGGCACAGCTTGCAGAGCACACTAATCTGCCAGCGCCTGCCTCGAGATAAGTGTGGTGGCGTAGCTGTAGTACGACGTGGAGAACAGCGACAAATTAGAGCAGGTGAGGTGCTGAGATGGTGCAGCGCACTCGCGCTGGAGAAACTGCTTATGAAGTCAAGTACAATCAAACCTGTCTATAACAAACACCCATACAACGAATTTCTCGATAATATGAAGTTTTTCTATTCTCCACCATTACTCCATAAAAGCACATGTATTGTCAACCTCTATGTAACCAACTATAAGAGGGAGATATCTTTTGTATAGCAAATTTTCGTCACGCACAATCTGCAAACTTGCACCTGGATTTTGTCATTTTGGCACGAGCATGCATATTTCGCAGTTGCCTCGCCACCAATGAAGCGCGAAGCGGCGGCGGGCACAGGCGAACTTCTGGTCCCAGAGACTTCGAGGCAAAAGTGAATGTTCATTGTCCTTGCGTGGGTGTGTACGAGGCAGGCCTGGGCCCAACGAGCCTGCGTTGACATCGTTCTTGGTGATGCAAGCGTACGCACAGATGTGCCCGGCCCCCCCCCCCCCCCCCAAAAAAAAGCTTCTTTTGCATTGGAAGTGCCGTGCTCTCAGCGTCACATATGTGGGCTTGCACTGGATATTGACCG